CCCCAGCCAGCTTTGCTGGCTGGGGACTTCTGGGAGTCGAAGTCCGCCAGGCTTCAAGGGCCCAAGGTTGGAGATCCCTGCTCTAGAGTACAGATAGGCTGGGAACATTGCATAGAGTCATATACATCAATGCTAGGAAGACAAGTTTTTTTTTTTCTCAGCAGGAGATCAAATTTTTTTCAGTAGATACAGATAATCAGAGCTGGAAGGGACCTTGTAGGTCATCTAGTCCAACCCCCCGCCCAAGCGGGAGACCCTACACTGTTTCTGACAAAGGGCAGCCCAATCTCTTTATGCTATTGCAGAGGAGTAGTTTGGCTTGCCAAGGTACCAGCTCTGTTCTAGGACAGGGGTCCCCAACCACCGGTCCAAGGACCGGTACAGGTCTGTGGATCATTTTTTACCGGTCCGCAAAGCTTGGGTGCCGCCATCTTGTTTCGACAGCGCTTCCAGGTTTTCGGTTGCTTCCGGGTTTTTGGTTGGAAAGTGCTTCCAGTTTTTCAGTTGGAAAGCGGCGTTTGGGTGCTCGCGCCTTAGTTTCGTCGAAGGGCGGGGGCAGCTTTGAACGAAGAGCCGTCCCGATGGCGGTGGAGTCTCACGTTACTCAGGTACCGGTCCGTGGAAGGATAAATAATCGTGAAACCGGTCCCTGGTTCGAAAAAGGTTGGGGGCCACTGTTCTAGGAGATACTTGTGCACTTTCCAAGATGCTCCACAGGAGGGTGAGCTGGTTTCACACTAGAGAGAAAGTCAAGGGGCCTTTTCCTGCAGCGTTATCCAAGGCCCCCTCCTGTCCTAGAGCTGCCTCACAAGTGGGTGTTACAACCGGGAAGGTTCAGAGCCATCAGGAATCCGACTGCCTGCACAGAGCACCAACTCATCTCCCCCACCAAAGCACTACCTAGCTATCTACTTGCACAGAACATGCTTTTGAAGAGTTAGGGGGACAGAAGCTGAGCCAGTGACAGAAGCTCACCCTGTTACACAGGGAAAGGGTTCGAGCTGTCAGAGCTGAGATCATCTCCAGCGTCATTAAGCCACTAAGCCACCACCTTCTATGATATGGCTGGGATGTCCCCCCAAGGA